AAAATTTTGTAAAATTTTAAAAAGAAAAAATAAATACAATGAGTTTTATATATAATTTACAATTTGTACTCCCTACCTTTAAATTATATGAATGAATATAATTATCTGTTTATTTGTTATTATGTTTTGCTTTGTTATGCTATCTAATATCATGTCCTCTCAAAAAAACACGATTACATATCTTGCAATAAAATGCTAATTTTGTCGGAAACATAGTTTTATTCATTTTGTATCTTATGCATTTCATTAATTCATAGTTGCATTTTGTGCAAATATATTGATTCTCATCACTAGTAATTAAGTGTAAGCTTATATTTTGCTCAAAAAAGATATGAAGTAATTTTAAAAAATTGTTGATTTGGTTATTCGAATATTCTTGCATCATTGAATCTATAGTATGTAACCCTAAAATTGACATTATTTAAAGAATTTTAGATAATATTAGAAACTCTTTCAAAAATTGCAATGATTGTAATTAGGCTGAATTGTTTTTATTTTAATTGAAATAATTAAATCCCAAAATATAATAGTAATGCCAAAAACAATTTTTTAAAGAAAAATATAAATTTCTGATTGTTAAATTTAACAATGCAATGATTTAATTATTTTTGATTTGTAACGAAGTTATTTACAAAAGTATAACACGTGTGGTATCTGTGCATCTTAGTGAAGTAACAAAGAATGGTATGCTCGAGAAATTCAGACATATGACACATGAATATTTACTATCTGATATAAATATTATAAAATATATGTATCAAGAAAAGCAATTAATAAGCAGTGAAATTTAGATAACAACTATCTAAAAAGACAACCCAAAGATGCACTCACTATTCTTGATGAACAAAATAATTTCATAGGATTTATACTGTCTAAGCCTATATCTAGAAAAAAATGGTAAATCCGAAATAGTTTATGCATTATATAAAAAATATTGAGATAGAGGGATTGGGCAATCCGTCTTAAGCAAGATGGTTATTGTGTGGGGTCCAGAAGTAAGCAAAATTGGTTTATAGCTTTATATCAACTCAGACATAGCACGTGCTTACGAAGTATGTGATGAAGAACAAGTTGATAAATTACGACTTCAAATTGCAAAAGGGCACTATGATAAAAAAGAATATGAAAAAGCTTGGACTATTTTTTCTGAAATTAATAATTGTAAATTCAGACCAACACATTATTCTAGCCAATCACATAATATATTTAAATTTACTGACAAATTTTGGATAACAATTTATATTTTAGAAAATTTTTATAAAGAAAATACTAACAAAATTAATGAAAAGTTTAAAGATTTATATTTGCTTAAGAAGGCAAATACATGTCAACAGAGAATGAAATATATTGATGAATGGAAACTCTTATCAGAAGTAAGTGAAAATAAAACTGAATATTATTATGATGCTAAATTTTGAATGGCAAATTGCCTTTTAGAAGTAAAAGGTGTCAAAAAAGATGAAGAATGTGCTTATAAATACTTTGAAGAAGTTAAGAAAAAATCCATCTCTATTTTAGTCAAAGACTACTTGAATATCGTTTAAGTATTAATTTTAATGCTGACATGCTACCAAAGTTAAGAATAGTATAAGAAAATTCAAATTTCAAAGATTATAAATTTTATTGATACAAAGATTTCATTCTTAAGTAAAAGATGTTCTTGAATTAAATTAGTTAGATATAAAAAATTTTTTAATATAAGTTATATATTATAAATTCATCTTTTGGTTTACGAATTCATGTTAGGTTTCGTATTAACCTGCTATAAATAATAGAAAATTAATCCATGTTAGTTCCATAACTCAAACCCGATAACCTGTTATTTCTGATAACCGATATTAAAGAAATTAGATATCAATAAGATATCGGGTTTGTCAGGTAATATAAATCAATTTGATTGGCTCAGATCAGCTTTTTGTTATATGAGTGTCGCTAAAAGAAAACCAGAAAATTTAAATATAAGTCATATTTAAATTGTCTGGTTTTCTTTTAGCAACACTTATATAAGAAATATAATCTAGCCAATTATATTCATATGACCAGTATGCAATTAGTATTTTAAACACGATAATCTCTCAAAACTAATACAAAGATGCATATCTGATTTGGGAGGGTAAACTGCATGAAGAAAGCAAAGATTCTTCGTTTAGCTATAATTTTAGAATTGCTCGTGTCCTGGTACTAAAATGAGCTAGTAAAATATTGAAATATTTTTTATTGCCTAAAGCAATTGAAAACTGCTTGTAGTCATTTCTTGAAATTCTATATTTTAGATTTTCTTGTGCTGAGTAGCAGTATAGTATAAAACAACTACCTTTGTTTTTGGGTTGTATGTTATATAAATGTTCATTCTCATCAATTTATAACAAAAACAACAATTCTATTATTGATTTCATTTACAGTTTAAGTACGTAGTAATTTTCTCTGGACTAAGTGATATGGACATATTGGATATTAAAGCTAATCTTTTAAAAACGAGTACCCCTAAAAAATTGATGAGACAGTTATATAATCTAAAAGAGCTAATTTGTAAATAACTCACTTTTAACTTAAATATTAAATTTTGACACAAGAGTTTAAAGTACTAATAGCAACACCTAGACTAATATATTTACTTTTTCAAAATTCTTAATATTCATTGAGAAGATGCAATTTTAAGAAATACATAGTAAAATTTTTGAATTATGCTCACTAAAAACAAATTGCTTGATTTCTACTAGTACCTGTGTTTGGTATTCTTTAAAAGAAAGAATTACTTTTTGCAACTAATAAAAATTGTTTTATTTCATCGATTATTTCCAATTAGAAATTCTGTGATTATATCAAAAATAAATTTAGCTAAACCTTTGAATTAATTTCAAATTAGTTAATGTCTCAATAATGACATATCGTATTCAAACTTAACTGCTTTTTATTTGAATTAAGATTTACAGTATTCAGGTTTAATAAATTTATTCTTTGAATTGGATCACTAGATGGCTAGCAAAATTAAATTTTAACTCATAAAAGACTTATTTATTTTTATAACATATTAATTGGATTGATGAAATAATATTAAAACCACATATACATCAGTAACTAAAAGAGGAACCCTGAAATTTTTTATTGTTAAAAGACCTTGACTATTAAGGTTCAATTATAAAGTTTAAAAAATTTATTTGACTAAATTCATCAATAAAAAACTCAGAAGTAATGTTAGTAGAAATTATTTGATCAATAGTCATAGAGATAGATGAATTAAAGAAATCTGCTTGAATAAATGATGGAGGTTGAGAATCGTATAATGTATCAGATGCATTATTTGTGCAATTGATAATTGAGAAAGCTTGTTGGGAAAGTGGTGATGAAGATATTTTTAAATTTGACAAAGCAGATTCTGCTATCAGAATAATGTTTTCATCGGTTAAATTACTTTTTTTATTAGAAAAGTCTTTTAATCTTTGTGAATATCTGTGTGGCTTATTTTTATTTGGACGAAATTCATAGTTGTAATATAACCGTTTATGTTTAAGCTTCTTTTTATCTGAGATATTTCAAATTGAACCTTTATGTCTTTAAATTGCATTCTTCACATTTTAGATGCAACCTTAGAGATATCGGCATTAGACAAGTTTATATGTGATTCCTTTAAAAAAGAATTTATATATATCCTATATAAAATAAAAGCATTTGGAGGACATGGAGGACGTGGAACCATTTTTTGGTTTGTTTTTTTTTTGTTTTTTTTGTTTTTCCAAAATGAGAGATGAATCCAATGTTGAAATTGGACTTTGTTCAGAAAGTATAAACATGCAACATTGGTTTTTAAAATGCTCACTCATTATCGTAAATCGTAAGAATAAGGCTTGAATGTTAAATAAATTGACACTCATTAAATATGAAAAATGTATGTTAAAAATTAAAATTGCAAAACAGATTTTCTAAGGATTCGTTAGAGTACTAATTATAATTATATCTTAATTAGTAAACTAATTATCGATATTGTGATCTATATTAATATAACTTGATTGGCATTGAAATCCATTATTAATTTATCAAGACCAACGAGGTCTTGAACAAAATTTATGACCAGATTAAATTATTGTTTTAATGTATAGTTGATTGTAAGGATTTTTCTTCTTTTGACAGAAGCTTAAAATTTATTTTCACAATGAAATTTCATTATATTTTGGAATTAAAGATTGACGATAAAACAAGTACCTACCAGTATTTGGGTGAGTACACAGCAAAACCATGCTTAGAGTATATAGATTATATATACTCTAAGCATGGTTTTGCTATGTACTTACCTATTTAGTTTTAATGATAGATGTGTTTCAATTAATTCAATTTGATTTGGTTGGATTTTTGAACCCTAATTATATAAATAATCTATAGGTTACCTTTTAATCTATCTAAATAGTATTCATATACATATATTGAGTAATGACCATAAGAGTACTGTTGTAATATCAAATTAACAACGTATTCGTTACGTTGAACTACATTCATAATAAATCGAGTTACATCAAATTCTAAAATTGTAAAAATTAATCTATTAGTCTAGTGACAATTTATTACGTACAAGCAAATTACAAGTGTCAAAATTACATCGAATAGCCTAAGCTTTATTTGGTGAACAATCATTATAACTCTCTCATATGTTCATATGTAAATGATTTTTCTTGCCCTGACAATTTTTTATCTTTTTCAGGTTTTTTAGAATGACACACACTCTGCCAGAATTCATGGAAAATTAATTTGTTATCATTATACTTATTTCCAGTTTCAGGTATTTTGGTATGACGT